CTGACAACCTCATAATGCTTCCACCTAATTCACAAACTTCCACTTCCTAGATACACTTGCGACCTCCCTTGCCACAACTCAGACGGCAGAAGAATATTGACCAATGAATTCCTCCTTGAGCGCTGTCAATTCACCGTGCACTTCGCGCATGCTTCGCCTCTTCGAAGGTGCAGGCGACAAGCAGCTTTCAATTACTGACTTTAGCTGCGGAGGGCAGTCACTGGGGAACGTGTTCAGCGGTTTGTCAGCACCAATACCCTGGTGGCCACAGCGCATCTCACTTGGCGACATCTGCACTGCGAGCTCCCACAGAACCAAGCCAAAGCTGTAGACGTCGCTCTTGAGAGTATGTGGACACCCCCCCTGCAGCTCTGGGGCATCAAACAGACAGACAACCCTCCTTGGCCGCTGCACCTCAATCTTCTGGGCATCAGGCTCGCACCTTGCCAGCTGGAAGCAACAGAGAGTGACATGTGGAAATTCTTTGCCGAGTTCATCCACCATGAAGCTCTTGGTCTCCAATCCACAGTGGGCAAGTGGAGTGGGATCACTGTGCAATCGGTCCAATGCAGCCGAGGCTTGCCACATGACATGAATCCTCGACTTCCAGGACAAACGATTGCCCTGCTTCTGATACCATCTGACCACATCTGCCTCTCCCCCTTTCATCACTATTGAGCCTGATGTGGAGTAAGCCACGACACTGGCAATGTGCAGGCTTTCCTTGTCAGCGTGAAGTGCAAGGAATGAGCAAACCTTGGCAAAGTTCTCCAAACCTGCAACTCTGTCACGAGTAGAAGGCTGGAATTTCACCATCACATTGCTTTCTTCCCACTCTGCTTCATAGACCTCGACATCATCATCCTCAAACTCATCCTGCAAGGGAATTTCACCGTTGCATATGGGCTGCATTTGGTGCAACAGCTTTGCATTTCGGTCCTTCACTGGCTTCCATTCTGTCCACGCACCTTGCAAAGATGCATCTGATTCCCCCAAGATGTACCCAAGAATGTTTCCCACGGCAAGTTTATCCTCATCCACACACTTTTTCGGGATTGTGCACACAATATCTTCGCAGGAGCTGCAATTGAGTTTGTGAATAGCAGTCATGCAGCCTGTGCAGATCTTCTGGATAAGGGATTTGGCCTCTCTGATGGGGTAAAAACACTGCTGAATAAACTCATGCGAGTGATGGTTGATCAGCTTCGTCCCCAGAAGCAAGTTTACTTTCAAAGATTCGAATGCCTCTGGGACGCTCTCGTTTGATGCCTGGATAGAGATGTCCTTCATCTCCTTGACCTTTTGCATCTGCTGATACAAAAACAGCAGCATTTTCTTGTTGTACAGAACATGCTCGACCGCTTTCTCCGCCTTTGCAACAGTAGAAGTGAGCTTCTCCACAACTGAGCCCTGATTAGTCACAATGCAACAGAATAGTGGGGTGAGTACAGCAATCCAATGAATGGGTATGCTGTGTATGCGAAGGATCATATTGCTGCCCTGAGTTTGCCTTGAATTGCAATATTCAGACCAGTCTACGCTATTCTGCACCAGATATGAGGACCAATCCTGCCATGGACAAACATTTCTCCTTAACACAATTGTTGCTCCAATTGCCATTTCTCTGTTCCAGCCATCAGATAACATTCTGTGATCCCACCCTCCAACAGTGGCAGTAGATGTGCCCTAACAGGCCGTTGTGCTACAGGTTTAGTTCTTAGCAACAAAAGCTGTTGGGACTTTCTCCAGTACATTATGGACATCACTGCCACAAAACTGTACACCAACTGAAACAGGGGCAATGTGGACAAGCAGCACGAGTGTCAGAAGAGATTTCTAACAAACCCGCAACAACTGAGAATCGTTGGTAATATGTAACAGAAATGCCCATTAATTAAATAGTGCTATGTCTGGAGCAACATCCATGGTCCACAAGGCACGCATCTGTCTTGCAATTGCCAAGGATGTCTGTGGGGCCTCAATTCCCCCCTTCCCCCCCCTGGAACAAGTGAAGATGAGAAAGGCAGAATACATGACATTGCCATGTGCACTAGGGCAACAAGGAATGTGTGCTAGTTGTGTTCCAGTAATTGCGTGGTTGGAAAGTTTTGAAGTGGGACTAGATTTAATGAAGGGAAAGGAGGTTCAAGGATTGAACTAAAACACAGGTTAGGCATGGAGTGTATGGGCAAGTGGTTAGGAGCAGGAACAACCAACGATCTGGAGCTGTCTCAAGAGGTAGATGCCCGCTGTAACAATAGAATTCCATGCCAACTCTCAAGTCCCCACACTGCCGTGCGCCAGTGCCATGGACCCATGGCACTGCCGGGGGAACTGTGGGAGGGCACCAGGGTGCTGAGAATCATGTGACCCTCGACCATGTGGGCTCTGCTGCCACATTGGACCCGGCGGCAGCCATGGGATGAGATCAGAGATTCTGGCTATGCACTGGCGACTCGCGTTGGGAGTGCGTGACTGAATGAAGGCTGCACAAGCCATAGCTTGATGCAGGCCAGATGAGAGAGCTGCCCAATGTCAGATCAGCTGGCCAGCCACAAGCGTTGTGCAGTTCTCAGTGGGTCAGCAGTCACACAAGCGCAACACGGACAAACATACTGAACCAACAACAAAATATTCGATGGAAAGCCCTCTTCATGTGCTTTGATGCCAATACCAAGTTATTTTAATAAACAAGACAGCTGGGTAGGCATTAACAAAGAACTTGCACACAAACAACTGCACAAAGAATTCCCACCATATGTGTCGCAGCTCAAATACTACATTAGGAGCCCTGTGATAGCAACCAATTCTATGTTCATTTCAGGCTCAATAGGGCTTCTTGGACGCTGTGACACTTGCAATACACAAGGCAACAGAACTCACCGCGTGCACCCAAGACTTTGGGACTGCTGACAGTTGCTCATAAACCTCATGGATGGTTGGTCTCGCCCCAGGATCCAGTTGACAGCACTTCTTCATCAGAATGTGCATCTCCTCTGGACAATCCTCTGGGGCGATGCTGCAAGGTTCAGCTGGGCCCCCACACAGTTTCCTATACATGATTGCTTGCGGATTCAAGGGCTCACCCTCAGCAGAATATGGTTGTTTGCCTGTTATGACCTCATACATGATGATGCCAAAGGCATAGACATCCGAAGCCATGGTTGGCGCTTCGTTGTGGTACACTTCAGGGGCCAAGTACACATCTGTACCCCCTCCAAGCCTCGCCGTCAGGCATCTTGTGGCAGTTTCTTCAGTTGCAAGGCCAAAATCTGCAAGCTTCACACTGCATTCATCTCGATGGGATTCAAAAACCAGAAAATTGTGGGTCTTCACATCGCTGTGAACAATTTGTTGGCTGTGAAAGTACTTCAGTGCAGAAGCGCCTTTCTTAAGAAGGAGAAGTTTTCTTGCCCAACCAATGTCCTGATCCTGGCACAGTGTGTGCAAGTCCTTGTCGGCTAATTCCATGACAATCCAGCCTGATTTGGTGATCGCAAACAGCTCGGGTGCATGCAAGGACTTCAGCTCTGAATGCCAGTAGGCCTCTTTGAGCAACTCAGCAAAATCATCAATGGGTAGGTCCGGTTTGTTTGGCTTCTTCACAGCAGCCACTTTATCCTTGTACTGGCATTTATGCACACAACCGTGGCCACCTTTTCCTAGCATGCACATAACCTCAACTTCTTCCTCTTGAACTGCCCACTGCCTGCTCCATTGCTCATGTTTATCTCTGGCTTCCTCCCACTTGTGCAGCAGACCCTTACTTGCACTGTTACACTCCTTGCCTCTCAGAACATAGGAGAGCATGTCATGCAAATGCTCCCTGTCTTTGGTGATGATGCTTTCCGGTATGACTGCCTCAATATGAGACTGGATACCTCTGTTTCTTACACATTTGCTGTGTCGCAGCAGCCGACAGAATGATTGGGCTGCTTCTCGTGCATCATCTACTGTGTAGAAATTCTTCAGACAAAAGGGTATTTCATGCTTTTGAGCGAACCGATCGCCCTTCTGCAAAATGGTTTTGGCCTCTTCATCGCCATCAATGCCTTTGACTATCATCATTTGCTTCTGAAGAAATGTCACAATTCCAGAATTGTACGAGAGGCTCTCCTACAAAGAAAAATACAGCTTGCTTAATGCCAGCCCTCGGATGTCAGTGGCACTGATGTGTTGTCCATTTCCACTTCTTCAATTCTACTGAAATTGACAGGAATAAGATGCCCTACAGATGGCTTTCACTACCTGGAAGCTCCCCTCCGCGTTTAAATAGATTTCCTTGTATGTGGGCCAAATAGAACCCCCCTGAACAGGAAATACCAGTGTGGTTGCTGCTCTTTGTGCACAGAATGGGTGGACGCCACCCACTGGGTTCTGTGGTCAACATGGCTCAGTAATATGAACACTCACAAGTGGGAAATGTACAAGCGAGGGGAATAGGAGAATATACATGCATGGTGTATTTGGGAATGGGGGACGCTGTTTTGTTGGCAGTCTCAACTTCCCAGATGTGCTTCCTATTTGCGCACCAGGATCAGCACACCATGATTCCTGTCTCAACTGTCAGGACAGAATGCAGTAGTCTCGAGCAAGGTAGTCAAAGCAAGGCAGATGTCAGGACTCAGTTCCATTTGCACAACAACAACAGGGCAGCTTCCTGGCAAAAATCACCATTTCCACACCACACCCACTGTGATACGGAAAAGGCGTCTAGACCTCGAACACTCACGGGAAGCCAACAGGTATTTGACAGGTCAACGCAAGACACCCAGCATAAGTCATAGATTCACAAGGTTGGGCCCTTCGGGGTCATATGACAATATCCTGAATGGCCAGTCCCAAACAGAGCATCTGCTCAATGCCTTGCCAAGTGCAAATAGATTTTGAGTGCAAACAATTTTGGTGTCCAGCACCACTGGAACGAAGCTGGAGCTCAGACCCTGACATGGGACCAATGCACATCGCCGATGCTCTGCCAGACTGGGCCTTAAAGATTCAGCAGAGGGACTTCCACTATGCACAGAAACTACCACACAAACAAAATTCTGTGCTTCAGAACAAGAGCAAACCAGATTTTCCACACAGAACATTCAGCACACGTCTTACCATGCAAGCACCATTCCTCATCAACAGTGCAATGACTTCTCCGCTGCGACCTTGTGTAGCATACCAGAGAGGGGTGCGGCCGTCCTACACATCCAGTTCATTTAATTTGGCAATCCCTTTCGAAATTGCTGAATTCAACAAATCATAGGACAGCTCCTGCTGTAGTTGCTCCATATCTGCAGTTCATGCATGCTGTCAAAGTTATTCAACCTGTGAATGCGTCAACCTTCCTCACACAAGCCTTGGATCATACAACAGATGTTCATTGTCGTTTTGCCAACATTACACTGTAGCACCTAATCCCTTTCATTGTAGGTGAATCATGCAATGCGCTTGCAGATGAACATATCAAACTCAAAGGCTCGAGTCGCGTCTGGGAAGGGGATCAGGGTGGGATGTAGGGGGTGGGGGGAAGCCAATGCAAATAAATCTGTCCAAGGCAATCGACGCAACTGGTCGCTCGACGCGATGTTCACTTCGAGCAAGCTGGGAGGCCGCTTTGAGGTCCCTCTTGGCACCTCTTGGCCATAGACTAGAATGAGTGGCAGTTTGTGAGGAAGGGGCGGGCGCGGGCATGTTCAAATTGAAAATTGCATCCGCGGCGATTGATCAAACGGGTCGATCTCGTGGTCTTTAACTTCAAAGAGGCTTGGCGGCCTTGCTACAGCGCTTTGGGGTGCCTCCTTGGCCGCCGATGGGAGGCAAGTGGCGTGGGGGGGCGTCAAGTTTGACAATTCTGTTTGTGGCGATCGACCCAACGGGTCGATTGCCGTGACCTTTCACTTGAGAAAGGTGTGCTAACGTCCTTGGGGCGGGCATCTTGGAGCGCAGCTTTGGCACCCGCTCGTGTTCAGAAGAAAGTGGTTGTGGGTGGGTGATCTTGGGATTAGGGTGCCAGGTTTGCAAGTTCCTGCAATTTGGCACATGAATTGTAGCAAAAGTGTGCGTGTATGTGCACCACTCGAGTGAGCATGGTTGGGCGAGCAATGTGTATTTTCTGAAGAGTGGCTGACAGCGGTAGTTCGTGTTGATCAGAACACAAATGAACATGAAGCATGGTTTCTCACCTTGTCACAGTGATTCACCGATGCTCCACGACTAACAAGCAACAAAGCAGTGGCATCATGGCCACCTTTTGCTGCAGAGATGAGAGGTGTTGACAAATTCTAGATATCACAGCAGAACATCAGGCCACTGACAAACATTCTCAGGCTGAGTGCACGTTATACCTAAAGATCAGTAAGCAATGAAACAACAGAGCTGTATCAATGGTGCAACTGCACAAACAGGGCCTCCGTCTGCATCACGCAATGGCAAGGATGTCAAACGGCTCTCCGAACCCAAACTATTTGACAAGCACCAATGTGGGTTGGTTTGCAAACCCAACACACCAATTTTGGACATATCGGCACATGCATCACTTTGGCCAGTGCCCACTCAACAACGGGGCTCTACCAATTGGATGCAATTCCTGAGCAGGCAGCAGTGCCAATGTTCAGGTTCTGGACAGAACACAAGTACATGCACATACGCTGGCCCTGTTGAGGAGGAAGACAGGCATCGCTGTCTCACCTTGTTGGCCTGGTCCACCATTGCCCCCTTTTCCAACAGCAGTGCTGCCGCACTCGAGTGGCCTTTTTCTGCTGCCCCAATGAGGGCTGTTAGGCCGTTCTGTGCATCACACATGACAACAAGGATGTCAAAGGGGTCTCAGGGCCCAAAGCACATGATGTGCACCAGCATGGATCGATTCATGCTTCAACGAGTTTCAACGGGCGCATCATCGACAGCAGCACATTGCGCACTGCCACTCAGATATCCGTTCAAAATGGTTGGCTGCAGACACTGGAAGGCTCACCACACTTGCTGCTGGCAACCTTGCAATATGTACAGTTTTCCTTCCACAGTTTCCTTGTTGAAATGCACATCTCCAACCCAAATAATCGAAAATAGTTTAGGAATTGACCAGATCGATGAAGGAAATTAAGAGTTTCTAGGTTCAGCCAGTACAGTGCACATCAGCAAGGTGTCCACAATGTGGGCGAATGTCATGTCTGTGCATCGTAATGGCACATGCATGACATATATGTTCTTACTGCGTGCACACCAGAGCAACAAACATGAAAACTAGCAAATTACTGAACTGTCGAGTTGTCATGTCCCGCATTTGCCAACGAGGTGTTGAGCTTCATAGCTCCTTGGAATGGTATGTAGTTTGGCAACTTTTTCTGTGCGCACTTTTCTTTCTGCGAAATACGCGTTTTTTTTCAGTGCAAACATTTTCTGGTAAAAGTATGCGTTTGCAGAACACCAAATTGTCCAAACATTGCTGCGGCAAACTGTGACGTACTGCTACTAAATGCACATTTAAAATGACATTGAAATTTCGTGTTCTTCACAACTAGTACAAAGAGAGCAGTTACTGCCAGGCTTGGTTTTTATGCCTTATGGTTTTCCACGTAAAAACGTAAATAGTAAAAGGGACTATTTTTGCAGTTGCATATACGTATTTTTACGGCTCGTTGGGACACCAACACCACGTGATGAAGTCGCTTACAATGATCAGTCCTCCGCCTCCTCAAGCATCCACATCCCAGCGTCCACCTCGCACTTGGCAAGGGCAAAAACGTGGTCGAGCAAAAGGTCGTTTTCTGCCCATTCCAGCGTATCTAGCTGCCAATCCCCGGACTCTCTGAGTCTGCATGTAGTGTCTTTATGTGTAAAGATTCCAAATTTACGTAAATTTTGCGCGTTTTTAGGTGTGATAACGTACATACTATTCTTACGCATAAAAACGTAGATATAATATGATCATTGTTTCCGCTGCAAAGACCAAGCCTTGTCACTGCCAACAGAAAAGAGAAAACTGAGTGCACATCCTAGAGATCCAAACGTGATGTCACACGTTGTAAAACAGAAATAAAATCTACTGTCGCAATGGGCCAGCTTTCCCACCTTGTCCGCCCCAACTACATCTGCTCCATGGTCCAACAGAATCTTCACAATCTCTTCCGCCCTGGCATCGTTGTCTACCATGCATGCTTGCATGAGAGGCGTTTCCCCTGCCTGCGCACAGTGCAATAGCATTCACGACATGCACAAAGGCAACACAATTCAACTTGTATCTGCTATGATGGTCCCCTTGAATAGGAATTGAGGTGTGGCACGTGTTGTAGAATCGTCTGAATTGTGCAGCGGACATCACTGCCATCGCTCAAATCCACAACTTCAAATTGTTGTGCTAGAAAAGTGCAGGACAAAACCATCCGCATCAGTTATGGGGCCAGAAGGACAAAAGCATGACAATGAGCAAGCCGGCCAGGAAGCGCCAGTCCATTGAAAACCACTCTGTGCTTGCTTGGTAGCCCTTTCTTCACAACAGCATTTCTGATGTTGAGTAGTCTATCCGTCTCAGCTACATATTGCACAACATCAGAATTACATCCATTGATTGGCTTAAAGATGTGCCCAGTCTTTGTACTTGTGTGCTTGCTCATTAACATGTAAAGTGAGTGGCCTTGAACACGCTCTCAAACAGTTGCCCCCAGGCATGGGAAGCAAGGCCGCAACCAGATGCATTACACGACGAACGTACCCGCTAAATAATTGTCACTGCAAGCATATCCGTTCTCTGTTCCCATTTTCCCATATACATTTCACAATAACATAAACATTGTGCTCACCGTAATGGTATTTCAACATTAATCACCGTAAGTCACACAATTATTTATTACTTGTCCTTTCACCCTCACACTCATGAATTTGATTGTGGTGTCGTGCACTTTCCAGGCAACCAGTGGGTGAGTCCTGATGTTGCCTAGTGCAGATGGAAGTGCAGCAAAAAGTACAAGCACCGGATCCTCCTTTGTGACCATCAGTGCAACAAAGGTGCCAACAACTTTGCTTGCATGTTGTGGTAACTATTTCCAGTATTGTTAGGCAAACTGATCATGGGACCAAGCCCTAGGAGGTATCGGAGGGGCCTGAGCATAGGCTGAGCGAAGTGAGGCGCATGCAAAGGTCCCGGCGATCTCTTGCAGGACAGAGGCGAAATGGGGACATTATGACTTTGATGAACTCTTAATGGAATGTAGCCACCGACGATGTAAGAGTGCCAGGCGGCGGCACCGACTTGCGGTGAACATTCCGGAAGTCTAGCCTTCCTAGCGCGAGCACGTCGATGCACAGACGGGACCGCACAGCGCGGCCGTCATAAGGTTGATCCGGAGAGTGGTAGCACTCCACTGACTGGCCAGACAGGGACACAGTTCCAGTATCTCCGAGTGGGCGCAACAGCGTGGGCCAAGATACATGGGCACCACTCCAGGCCAGGAGAGCACCACACATGTCCTGTTGACCTTTGTCAACCGTGGAATCACCACCTCCTACTGCTGCAATGCGTGGATCAGGGATGGATTGTGGGCGAAATAGGGAACCAAGGCAAGCTCTCATGAAAGGAGTTTCTCCTACATGTGAGTGTGACATGGTGGACGTCATTTAAATGCAGAGCCAATATCTGATTTTCAATCTTTGTGGCATCCATATTCAACAGCTGAGATCTGGCAAAGCACAACTGCACAGCCTTGACCTGCATGGCTGGCATCTTGGTAATAGTCCAAATAAAACCTTGCCAATGATGAAGGCACATTTTGACATCCTGACACAAACAGATCCCAACCATTCCACCATCAGCATCTACGCCTTGTGCAACGGGACACAGATGCCCAAACGGCTTGGGCAGTTGCAGAAGTTGGCCACGCTAACACACTGATCTGTGGCCAGATTTTTGTGCTCAGCAGGGCTTCTAGCCACCATGAGTTGCAGGGAACATTGACACCCGGAAGGCATCCAGACACAGTACAGCCTGGGATGTACACAAGCATGGGGGGTGCCGCAACCACTACAAATCGTGGGCTTCTATACCATTCATTCAGGTAAGTACATCAAACCCAGGTGCACATGGCATGTCCCAACTGCAGGGGGTAATAAACATATATAACAACACTATGAACTATGACTGGTCTTCGAATTTCATATGTAAAAAGCATACCTACACTACAAGGGGAATCCCAAGTAGGAAAAGGGCTGAAAGCACAGGGTATAGCACAGCCACAACCACGGACACAGATTCAAGCCTTGCGGAGGAATAAAACATGCAAAGCCATCTCACCTTGTTGGATTGATTTACCGATGCCTCATTTTCCAACAGCAGCACCACGGTGCTTGTGTGGCCATTCCGTGCTGCCCAAATGAGGGCCGTCCAGCCCTCCTGTGCATCACACACAACAACAAGGACATCAAAAGTGCTCATGGCACCTAAACCACTTGACCAGCACCAGCATGGGTTGATTTGCATCTCCAACACACCAATTTTGGACAAGTTGACACAGACAGCACAGGTATCACATTGGCATGCGCCCACTTGACAAGACATTACTAGTGGGATGCAAGTTGCAAGCAGGCTCGATGTTCATGTTGTGGACAAAACACTAGTACCAACACAGATGTGGGCCCTCCTGAGGAAGAAAACAGGCAACAATGTCTCACCTTGTTAGCCTGCTCTACCAATGCCCCATTTTCCAGCAGCAGTGCCAAGGTGCTCATGTTCATGTAATGGATAAAACACAAATACACATGCAGCTGCGGGCCCTCCTGAGGAAGAAGACAGGCAACACTGTCTCACCTTATCAGCCTGGTCTACCAATGCCCCCTTTTCCAACAGCAGCGCCACAGTACTATTGTGGCCATTCCGTGCTGCCCAAATGAGGGCCGTCCAGCCCTCCTGTGCATCACACCACAACAAGGACGTCGAAAGACCTCATTGCACCCAAACCACCTGACCAGCACCAGCATGGACCGATTTTCATCTCCAACACACCAATTTTGGACTATTCGACACAGGCAGCACAGGCAGCATACTGGCATGCGCCCACTTGACAGGACATTATTAGTGGACAGAAGTCCCAAGCAGGCAGCGGTTCTCAATATTCTTGTTATCGACAAAACACAAATGCACACGCAGATGCGGGCCCTCCTGGGGAAGAAGTCAGGCAACACTGTCTCACCTCGTTAGCCTGGTCTACCAATGCCTCCTTCTCCAGCAACAGTGCCGTGGTGCTCGTGTGGCCATTCCGTGCTGTCCAAATGAGGGCCGTCCAGCCCTCCTATGCATCACATACAACAACAAGGATGTCAAAAGACCTCATGGCACCCAAACCACTTGACTAGCACCAGCATGGGCCGATTTTCATCTCCAACACACCAATTTTGGACAATTCAACACGGGCAGCACAGACAGCATGTTGGCATGCGCCCACTTGACAGGACATTACTAGTGGGACGCAAGTCCCAAGCAGGCAGCGGTATTCAATGTTCATATTATGGACAAAGCACAAATACACACGCAGATGCAGGCCCTCCTGAGGAAGAAGACAGGCAACACCGTCTCACCTTGTTAGCCCAGTCTACCAATGCTCCCATTTCCAACAGCAGCGCCACGGTGCTCGCGTGGCCATTCTGTGCTGCCCAAATGAGGGCCGTCCAGCCCTCCTGTGCATCATAAACAACAACAAGGACGTCAAAAGGCCTAATGGCACCCAAACCACTTGATTAGCACCAGCATGGGCCGATTTGCATCTCCAACACACCAATTTTGGACAATTCAATATAGGCAGCACAGGCAGCATACTGGCATGCGCCCACTTGACAGAACATTACTAGTGGATTGCAAATCCAAGCAGACAGCTGTACCAAATGTTTGGGTTGTGCAGAAACCACAAGTACGTGCACATACGCGAGCCTCGCTGAGGAAGATGACATGCAACACCATCTCACCTTGTTGGCGTGATCCACCCATGCGCCCTTTTCCAGCAGCAGTGCCGCAGTGCTTGTGTGGCCATTCCCTGCTGCCCATGTGAGGGCCGTCCAGCCCTCCTGCGCATCGCACACAATGACAAGGGTGTCAAAAGGGCTCTTGGGACCCAAACCCCTTGACGGGGTCGATTCACAACCCCGGCACACCAGTATTCAAGATATCAACAAGTGCACCACAGACCTCCACCATATCAGCAAGCACACGTTTAACAAAGGGCTCTACAAGTCGGACACATGTCCTGAGCAGGTGGTGATACCAATGTTCTGGTTCTGGACACAGTCGTATGCACAGATGCAGGCTCCGCCAAGGAAGAAGATGGGCAATGACATCTCACCTTGTCAGCCTGGTCTACTGATGCTCCCCCGTCCAACAGCAGTGCCACCGTTCTTGTGTGGCCCTTCTGTGCTGCCCCAATGAGGGCCGTCAGGCCGTTCTGTGCATCGCACACAACAACAAGGCTGTCAAAGGGCTCTTGGAACCCAAACTACTTGATGTACACCAGCGTGGCTTGATTTGTGCTCAGTGCGCTTCAACAGGTGAATCATCGACAGCAGCACATTGCACACTGCCACACAGATATTTGCTGAAAATTTCTGGCCACAGACACTGGGAAGGTCGCTGCACTGGCCCGTGGCAACTTTACAATATGCGCAGCATTATTTCCAGAGCACCCTCAATGAATTGCACATCTCCAATCCCCATAGCCGCAAACAGCTTAGAAATTAAACAGATCGATCATGGAACATTAGATTTTATAGGTTCGGCCTCTGCAATGCACATCTGCTAGGTGTCCACACTGTGGGCCAATGTCATTTCTATGCACCGTAAAGGCACATGCGACACACATGTGTTCTTCAAACACGCACACCAGAGCAACGGACACGAAGATTGGCACATTACTGAACTGTCGATTTGCCAAGTCCCACATTTTGCTGGCGAGTTATCGATCCTCATAGTTAGTTTGTGGCACCCACATTTACATAGATTGCTACTTCACATGATACACATGTGCTGGACACCAAATTGTCTAAAAACTGCTACATCGAAATTTGCGTACTGCTAGTTCAATCTGCGTTTGAAATGAAATTGAAATTTCGTGTTGTTCACGACTTGCACAAAGAAATGCAGCTAGTGGCAAGAGAAAAGAAAGACTGAGCACATATCCTAGATTTTCAAACGCGACGTAGCACAT